TGATGAACTCTACGGCACTGTTCGTTCGAATTTGCTTTCGCAGAACCCATTACCGAATGTTGACCGAGCTTACAAGCTTTTGTTCAAGAAGAAACTTCATGGGCTGCTATCCGTGAGAAAAATCTTGCTGGGGAAGTTCAAGCTTTTGCCTTGCAGGTGGAGCGCCCTGCTAAGGGACGTCCAGAAAAATCAGAAAAATCAGACCGCCCCCAGACCTCTTTGTACTCACTGCAAACAGAGGGGTCATGAAATTGGCTCGTGTTTTAAATTGCACGGCTACCCGGATTGGTAGGAAGAACGGAACCGGAGCAAGAACGGGCAGGCAAGTCGTGGAGGGGGGGCTCGCACCCACGCGGTGGCACCTGTGATCGGTTTGAACTTGCAAGTGTACAAGTGCCGATATAGTAATAAATTCCAGTAAAATACCGGGTCGATTCCATAGGGAAACGTTGTTTAATTTAATCCGAGAGTAGATGACTTTAAATAAATAAATGAGTAAAGTGCAGGGATTTTGAGTTGTGTGTTGTTATGAAAACAACAACTTGATTCTTCTTTTTAATTTTCAGAGATATAACTTAAATTAATTTGATTAAAGTGATTGATAACAACAACTAAGACTTCGGGAATCACTTAAATGCTTTAATAGGGTTGAATATTAGTTCTTTACCAAAAATTATGAATACGATGTCACTAATATATTCTCAACTCCGGTTAAGGCAACAAGAGTGTGGTTTTCGTTACGTATAAGTCCCGTTACGGCTTACATTCATCTACCGAAAACCCCGTTGAATATCAAGACATCACACCCGTATCATATAATACCGGATATATTTCTATTCTCGGTAATATATATGTTTATCCTTTAATGTTCATAGTTTAGACCTCAACGTTAATTGCAAGCATAAACTAAGTTTAACATACTTCTATGTTGTACACCATAGTCATAAACAATCAAAATGTAAAGGATAAATCACAATTTATTGGTTTAGAACTTTTATCAAACACCTAGTAGGCATAGAAGTTCATCCCTAGCCTTAGCTAAGAAATTAGCCTCTAATGCTCATATTAATCACAATACAATATTGAAATGTAATGGAACATGAAATTACAAAGGAAATAATACCTAAACACCAATGATTTCGGAGGTTGAAGTTTCCTCCCCAAGAACTTGAAGAAAATACCAAGAACAAAAATATAAAAGCTAAGATTTAATCTATGGAATGGAATTTTCTTGCTCGATGAATTAAGGGCTTTATATAGGCTAAAGAAAGGCAACTTTTAGTCTATTCAAGCCTAACAATCGGGTATGGAAGCAATATTTGATCAGATATGGAGGAAGATGGGTTTTTCCCATCAGAAATCTTCTGCACGTCGGACTGTTTTAGCAGAAAATCGGAACAACCGGCGCCAGTTATAGCATGTCCGGCGCCGGTTGGGTGCAAAAATGCACCGGTTGTCCGGGCCGGTTGGAAACAGGCGGAAAATGGGAAAAATGCCATACGACCGGCGCCGGAAATGTGAAGACCGGCGCCGGTTCCTGCGCCAAATTATGTACTCCGTTTCTCTTTCTCTTTTTCTGCCCGAAATTTACCCGGAAGTGCCGGTTTTCGACCCTTTTTGACTTTTGACCCTATTTTTGTTGCTCCAAGCCGTCTTTCATGTTTCCGCTCACTTGGGAATATTTACCTGTTTTTGCTTCACATTTTTGTACAGATAAATATAATTACTTATGTAAAACATAAGTAATTATTGTGCTTATCAACCTGCACTCTTACCGGCAGCAGCGGAAGGACCGTCTTCTTCTACTACGGGGAATAATTATAATGGTTTGGCTACTTTAACCCACGAGCAGGTCTCTCGGTCTTCTACAGAAGCAGAATACCGGTCCATGGCGGCTACCACGGTGGAATTAAAATGGGCTAAGGAGCTTCTTCTCAGTTTCGGTGTTCCGCATTCTCGTCCGATGTCCCTGGTGTGTGATAGTCGCTCTGCTCTACATATTGCACAGAATCCGGTTTTCCATGAACGCACGAAGCACATCAAAGTGGACTGCCATTATGTTCGTGATGCTATTCAGTCAGGTCTGCTAGCCACTAGTCACATGTCTACCGTTGACCAACTCACAGACATTTTTACTAAAGCTTTGGGCAAGCAACAATTTCTCTATTTACTTCGCAAGTTGGGCATTTTTGACCCGCATGCTCCAACTTGAGGGGGGGTATTAAGCCACGTATATATTTGTATATGGGCTCAGCCCTAGTTATGTAGCTTATGTATTTACTTTACCCTAGTTGTGTAAATTAACTTGTATAAATACCCATTATTAGTAATTGAATAGAACAAGGGAAAATTAACCCTGAAACTACTAGTCTTTGTTATTTTGCACTGCCTACGTTCGTGACAGAATAAATTTAAGACGTGAACAAATGTAGAATTGACATCAAAATCATTGCGTTCTATGAGTATGATGTCAATTCCACCACCACCGGTAGTACTACCACCTCGACAGTCACCATTCTCTTCATTTTTGCCTCATGACGAGTATAGAGGATTCAATCTCTCATGTGATGCTGAGTTTTTTCCGAGACTAATGGTAATTAAATAAATATTTACCTAAATAAGGTTGGGTTAATAATTATTCCCAATCTACTGCTACCCTGGTTAACCAAAGCCCAATACACGTACGCTAATGTAAGTAAGTCACAAACGTACTTAGCAATCAAGAATTCAAGATGGGTCCCTCAGCATAATAAAATCCAACTTTTCTTTGAATAGCTATAATGTTTTTATTTTTGATCTATTTTGTATAAAAATATATATCACAATTCATAATTTTTTATGAGCTTTCATTTGACACCAATATTGCATATGTAATTTAAAAAAAAAAATTGAAGAGCACATGGAGCCCGTTTGGGAACTCTTTTTTCCGTTTTATCGGTCTCATCAACCAACTTTTTCACCAAACACGAAGAGGCTGCTTGGAGCCACTATTTTTCGACTTATCAGGCTTATCAACCAACTTTTTCACCAAACACGTTATTTTTGCTATCGCACGTTGAATTGTGTAATAAGCAGAAAATGTAAGGTTGAAGTTACATTTTTGGCTGTATTGGCTAAAGTTATTATAGATGACTATTTTAGCTATTTTTAAATATAATTTTTTCTTTACTTTATTAATAAGATATATTTTAAAAATAATATTTTCTTAAATCAGCAGAATCGGCCAATGCAGTCACTTCAGCCAGAACTTCATAATTTTCAACAAAATCAGCCAAATCAGTCGATTTTCGTGCTACCAAACGGGCTCGAAACTTTTGATTTTGCGTGCTTATTGTGTAATAATCAAAATAAGTGAGGTTGAAATTATTTTTCTGGCTGCATTGGTTGAAGTTATTGTAAATGTATATTTTAGCTATTTTTATTCATTTTGTTAATAGAAAATATTTTGAGTTTTTTCCAAACTAATGCTAATTGAATATATAATTAAGAAAATAAGGTTGGGTTAATAATTACCAGACCAAATAAGACACCCTGAGGTCATTTGGTAAATATCAAAGTGACTGAATTGACTGATTCTGTTAAAATTTATGAAATTCAAGTTGAAATGACTATATTAGTTGAATTGGCTTATTTATTAAAAAATGGTTTCCTTACAAGAAATATTACTAAAATAAAACTTATTTACATTCATTACTAAAATATGACTATTCATTACTACTCCGTACAACGTAGTGTTGTGATAACTTAAGTTCAAAACCTAAACATGAATTATGATGATTTCATTACTATTCTAGTAAATAGTCATATTTTTGTAAAACATCTTTATTTTGATCATATTTATGTAATTATTTCTTAAAAAATTATATTTATAATAATTTTTATTAATAAAATGCTAGAAATAGCTAAAATGTAACTTCGCCCAATACAGTCAGAAAGGTAATTTCAACCTCACTTATTTTGAATAGGCTAAAGGGTCAAATAGATACATGAACTAACTTAAAATGTTCAATTAGCCCCTTATATAGGAGGTTCTGCCCGGCCGTTGCCAATTGGGACGGTTCCCGGTGGAATTTTTTGATGAAATTTTTTGAGCATCTTCTTCATTAAGTCTAGTTTACTCATACCAAATTTCAGCTAAAAATTCAACCGGGAAGGCAGTCAAATGTTTTTTTGAAGATAATTGCGCAGTTAAACAACGCAGTACATTTTGAAAAATCATTTGACTGCCTTCCCGATTTAATTTTTAGCTGCAATTTAATATGGGTAAACTAGACTTAATGAAGAAGATGCTCAAAAAATTTCATCAAAAAATCCAACCGTGAACCGCCCCAATTGGCGACGGCCGAGCAGAACCTCTTATATAAGGGGCTAATTGAACACTTTAAGTTAGTTCATATACCTATTTGACCCTATAGCCTTTTGAATATTACACAATAAGCACGCAAAATCAAAAGTTATGTATTTGATGAAAAAGTTGGTTGATAAGACTGATAAGTCAAAAAAATAAACATGTGCAATATTGGTGTCAAATGAAAGCTCATAAAAAATTATAAATTGTGATATATTTTCTATCCAATATAGAGCAAAAATAAAAAAGTTAAATCTGTTTAAAGAAAACATGGATTTTATAATTAGGAGGGGCCCATCTTATTGCTACGTAAGTTTGTGGCCAACTCCGTATTCTTCTGAATGTTGAGATAGCCTACGCGTATGAGACTTTCTTTAACTAGGGTAGCACTAGATTGGGAATTATTATTAACTCAACCTTACTTTAGTAAATATTTATTTAAGTAACATTAATTTAGGAAAAAACTTTGTAATGCTACCTTGTGATGGTACGGATTTGACAAATATATCTGTTGAGCACTATGCGTGCTCAAATCAATTTCAATGTTGAATGGTTACATATATGACAATCATACTGTTTGAACAAGAAATAATCTAAACTAAAAGAATTTAATTGGGAATCAAGCAATTTAAGAATCAATAAGGACAGATTGTTGCTAGAAAAAAATAGTATATTATTAGGCTTTTTAGCCGAGATCTTTGAGTACAAGATATGGAATTTTCTTTGTGACCTGCGTAGTATGTATAATGTGCTTTTTTCTAGATTGATCGTGCCTTTCAATGGTGGGCTAGAATGAAAAAAAAATGCCTCTTTGAAGAATAGTCTGCATATGCTATATGTAGTATTTGTTTTCTAACTAATCATGCGTTACATGGATAGCTAGTAATTCTCCCTATTTATGACAATTATTATGCCAACCTCATTTGCATCCGTTCAGCCAAAGAAATAGGGAACGGTTCCCCAAGTTCAAATCTGCTTTCATGGCTATCTAGCTAATTCCATTATTGGAGCCATAGGGCTCATCCTTTACTATCCACACCAGTCCATGGCCCATCAGTCAGTCGAATCCTGGCTCCAACACACTTATATTAATCGGCGGCCCAATCGTGAATTAAAATTCTTGGGCCCAACAATTGCCCCCTTTTCGAGAAGTTGGGGCGAATAATGCACACGTCTCTCGACTTGTTCAGCAACAACTTGTCGAAAATTTGAAAGTACACTTTGCATCTTGGTTCATTGCATCATCACATATTGATCAACTTGTCTAACTGAATGCTTCCATATTTTTCTTTTTGAGTAACCTCTGATTGGATCCTTGAAACAGTGAAGTCTGAAAACTGGAATTTTGTTATTCTCCCTCCGCATTGTACTGACGATTAGATGACAGAAATTTGTGACAGTATCATGTCGGTGTCGACACCTCAGTTGGCAAAGGGGACATCATCCGTCGTTAAAGATGATGAGTTGTGTGGCGTGAACATAGTCCATAACCTGCAAAAACTTTGAATAACGTTTCATTCGTAATTTTATCAATATTGTGATATGTCGTTTGTAGTGTCTCCTCATATTTTGGAGCTAATGTCGTCACGCTTCTGTTGCGTACTTTTGTAGTTTTGAATGTGGTTGTTGTTCCACATGATGATGTCGTTTGTACGTGTACTGTTGTTACTTTGTGTTTGTCTGACTTTGAAGTTGTCAGTGTTTGTGATGTATGATCTGTCTGTTGTTTTGGCCAAAACATTCAAGGTGCATAGGTTTGCCATTTGCATTCCTCATACGATGAGCCTATACAGTCCTTGTCACCCCTTACTGATGTGGTCAGGGAGCGTGTGTTAGTAACTTTGGATGAGCTGATTGAAGACTTCAGCCACCGGTGTTGTTGCTAAGTATATGTTGTCATTTTCCTGAAATCAATCATGTTGTAAGGGTCTGGCCGTTGGCTTAGAGCCAATGGCCCTCTGATGCTAAAGTCAGTACTTGTGAATCGAGAGATATGTATTGAAAAATAGTCTTCAACTTTGTGAAACTACTTAGTAAAATTCATGTCATGTTGACTTAATGTTTCAAAAGTAATTTAGCACTTGTCCAAGTGAACAAATGAAGAAAATGCTACAGTGAGGGATGAGTAAGTTGTTGCATACCTTGATAGTGTCCTGATCATTTGCTTCTTTACTAGTTTACCGGTACTGATTAGGCAATCTCGGTTGACCCACTGTTGTTGGGCTGTAGCTAATTGATGTCGTCGTCTAACCTTTAATTTGGTGTTGTCATCCTTCACTCGGTTTCATGTTGTCTTTCGGTACGTGGTTTGACCCCTTCAGTCTGTAAATCCAACACTTTGTCGGCCGTTGGCTTGAGTCCAATGGCCCTTCGACGGTCAAGTTAGTAAGAGATTCAAAAGGTATAAGACGAATACTTAAGTAAATAATTATGTTAGAAATGGAAATGCTTTAAGTGTACCGCATTCCAGCTCCTTGGTACTTGTTTACCGTCGATGCCTGTTATCCGATATGCCCCCTGCCCGACGACATCCGTGATCTGGTATGGGCCTTCCCAGTTGGGACTGAATTTCCAATTTGCCTCGTTGCCAAAGGATTTTCTGAGTACCCAATCGCCTTTTTTGAATACTTTGACTCGGACATCTTTGTTATAGCTTCTTGCTATCCTTTGCTGATAGGCTGCCATTTGCACTTTAGCTTTTTCTCTCAATTCGTCGATAGTGTCAAGATCATGAACCAATTCCACATTGTTTGCTTCCTCCATGATAAGTCCGTATCTGGATGTTGGCACTTTGACTTCGACTGGAATGACGGCTTCGCAACCGTACACCAACGAAAAAGGCGTTTGTCCTGTGGCGTTTTTTGGTGTTGTCCGGTCTGCCCATAATATGAGTGGTAACTCGTCAGCCCACTTTCCTTGTGCTTTATCCAGTCGTTTCTTTAGATTTGAGATGATGATCTTGTTGCTTGACTCAGCTTGTCCATTTGATTGCGGATAGCGTGGTGTCGACATCTCCAGTTTGATGTTGTACTTCTCACAGAATCGTCTGGTTTTGATGCTAATGAACTGTGACCCGTTGTCACAGACGATCTCTGACGGGATGCCGAACCTGCTCAATATATTTCTTTTGATAAAAGATATTACCTGGGTGTCGCGGATTTGTCGGAAAGGCTCTGCTTCGATCCACTTTGAGAAGTAGTCAGTCATTGCCAACATGTAGACTTTTTGCCCAGGTGCTTCAGGCAACTTTCCTACAATGTCCATGCCCCACTTCATGAAAGGCCACGGAGATAAAACAGGATGAAGGGATTCTGCATGTTGATGATGTAGGGGTGCGTGCTTCTGACATGGTTGACAAGCTTGGGTATATGCGACGGCGTCATGCCTCATTGTTGGCCAGTAGTATCCAAACCTCAATGCTTTGTTGGAAAGGCTCCTTCCTGCTGCATGATTGCCACACTCCCCTTCGTGAAGACTTTTGAGCACTTTGACGGCTTCGGATGGGGCAAGGCACCTTTGATATGGACCTGCTTTCGAACGTTTGAACAAGACGTTATCAATTAATAAGAACTTTGTGTAACGCCCCTCTCAGGGATAAAGGAAACGTTACACTAACTTACTACTTTTAAAAATAACTGCAATCTAACGGCCGTCTATTTAAGAAAATAACCCTGATAAAATCTCAAAAGTAACTAAAACAGCTCCAAATAAAACTTAATAAAATATAGTTATCACCAGGAAATGTGATAACCACCTGGATCCAGGAATTTATTCAAAACTCAAATCCACAATAAAATAAAGAAATAATAATCTCTTTATTATAACAACTGAAATACTGAAATAAAAATAATAACTAGCTAGAAGCCACCAAGGTCGTTCCCGTTAACTCATTTTGGCACGCGTTCCACTCTCTCATCATCTTCCTAGGCCTTGGCCTTACCCTTGGTATTTGTATCTGTACATGCGAAGAAACAAAACTGATAAGCTTTACGCTTAGTAAGTCACTATGGATCCACAAAAATATATAGAAGTCTATGCCAATTTATCAATAGATAAATTTAGGCTATAAGCATGTACTGAACAAATAACTAACACACAACTTCTCAAATACATTCTGAGGGAGATCTCATAAGGAAAATATTTTCTAAAATAATTTTTCAAAACTGTCAGAGAGATCTCAAAATTTCTTTCTCAAAACATCTCTGTAAAACTTTCTGAAGAGATCTCAAAAACAACTTTCTGTAAAACTTTCTGAAAGAGATCTCATTAAACTTTCTGTAAACTCTTTGTGGCTAATTTTAACTGTGGGCCCGTGATATGTACTCAATGGCGCCAATCCGACAGCTCAGGGGAGCGACCCACTAAACATATCGGACTATCTAAAACTAAAACTGCTAATCTGAGGGAACTAGTTCCCGAGTACATATCACTTAATCTTTCACTTTAAGTATTAGTTCTTTTTATGGTGACGTTTGACTAAAAACATCATTAAATCTGGAAACAAAAGTACTAACAAATCTTGACTATGCCAGATAATAAACATAACTTAATCTAGCAATAAAATAACTCATCACATAATTCACATAGTTCACATAATAGCAAATAGTCTAAAATTATCTATTAAAATCAACCAGACTTCTTTCTTGCATTTGGTTGAACAAACATGTACAGGTGGTAGTGAACTTACCTGTTAACAGCTGAACTCAAAATATTCAAACAAGTGTGGCACCTTGATAACGTCTTCCGGTAAACTCTTCCTTGAAATCTTTAATGATATATAATAAGATAATTATTGATTTGATGTCTTAAACCATGTGAAATCCCATGTCTCATAAACTAAGGTAAATTAACTAAACCAGTAAGTTAGAGTAAAACTTTTAAAAGAAAGTGAACTTGGTTGATTATTACGACTAAAAAAAATAGTAGCAGCAACCTTCAAGAATTCTTTGTAAACAGTTTTCACCCCATACAGAATGAAGGCTTAACAAAATTAGCTACAGAAAGTGACTACCGATGAAATTGAAAATCAAAATTTTCCTGCGGGTAATGATTTGAAAGCATGAGATCTTAATTAGACAATATTGTATAAGAAAACTTTGCAATAGAGCCATACTAGAAGTTTAGTGAAGGAAGAATTTGATCCGGAAACTTAAATTTCTTGATCAGAAAAATTTGAATTAAGTCCGTACACTTGCACTCTACCAGCGAAAATTATGAACTGATCAATAACTATCAATCTAAGTTACCAACTTTTTTCAAAACTAGCTGTAACTGGAGTAATAACTAAAGATACAGAGCAATGGACCTACAACAGAAACTCAAAACTACTGCTGCACCAGTTGAATTCATGGGTTTACAAAGCATGAAATGTCAATGGAAAACTATAATTGGAAAAGTGACAGTGGAAAGCAGCAAACTTGCAGTTTCGAAAAGGAAGATTTGATCAACTTAAACCTCGAAATCAAATTCAACTAGAGGATACTATCAAACCTAACATTTACTATCGATCAACCCAATCGCTCAACCATAAGAAAACAAATAAGAATGAGGAAGGTAAGGAATCGGACTTACCCGCCAGAAAAATTTCAGCGAAGAAACCGGCTGAATAAGGTAGAACGGTAGAAGGCTATGGCGGCCAGCATAACAAAAACAAAGCCCTGGGATGTCTTTTATACCTTAACTAAGGAAAGGTCCAATTCATCTAAGTAAAATACGGAGTAAATTGGTGAATGGTTTGGGCCAAAAAAAAAACATACGGAGTAATTGATTGGGTCTCTGAACTCTGGTTATGTTATAAAAATGTTTATATCGGAGCTATATAAAAAATAATCCCTTACAAAATAAACTGATTAAACTATACTCCTTAGAGCATTATTTACTTATTATTCATTTATGATTTCTGGAGTTTACCGGTCAACGTTACCTGCCAAGACAACACTCGATCAAACAATAAATCACATTATTCATAAATCAAATTTATTTAACTGATTAAATAAAATGATTACTATAACTAACTCACTAAATCTGGGTGTTACACTTTGTTACCTTTGATAAGAGTGCTCGTGCTTCCCTCTTGTCAGCTGGGAGGATGTTGTGTTTGAGGTACTCCACATACGGTTGCATCCAGCTGCTGTCTGACTTTGATTCAATGATGTTGACGACTTCCAACTTCATAATTGCTGGTTCAATCAGGTGGACGAATGGTATGCTGTCGTTGCTTTCTGCCCCTAGACACGATCCGATTGCTGCCAAGGCGTCGGCTTTGACGTTTTCCTCTCTTGGGACTTGATCAAAAGTGATGTTGTCAAAGTTGCTACTTAATTCGGTAACGACTTGTAGGTACGCCGTCATCTTTGGATCTTTAGCTGCATAGACCCCGTTAGTTGGATTAATAATTAAAAGGGAGTCGCACTTTACCTCAATTAGCTTTACGCCCAAATTTCGGGCTAAGTTTAGTCCGAATATCAACGCCTCGTATTCTGCTTCATTGTTTGTTGCATTAAAGTCACACCGGACAGCTTGTAATATGGTGCCCCCTTATGGTGACTTCAGCATCACTCCAAGGCCTGCTCCGTGCATGTTCGAGGCTCCATCAGTATGTAACACCCACTTCTGCTGGTGTTGATCTCCTATCAACAGGCATACTTCCTTTTCCGCCTCTACTTGTAGTCTGGGGCTGAAGTCCGCCACAAAATCGGCTAAGGCTTGTGATTTCAATGCCGTCCTGGGTTCATACGTGATGTCGTATGCCCCCAACTGTATTGACCACTTGATCATTCGGCCTGTCAGTTCTGGTTTCCTCATGATGGACTTCATGGGATAGTTAGTACGAACACAAATAGAGTGTGATTCAAAATAAGGGCGTAATTTGACAGATGTTGTAACTAATGCTAGGACAAGTTTTTCTAGGAGTGCGTACCTGGATTCCGGGCCGTTTAACGACTTACTTACATAGTAAACTGGTGTTTGCCGTCCGTCTTCTTCGCGTGTCAAGACTGCGCTGACAGCATGTTCCGACACGGCCAGGTAAAGTTGCAACTCCTCGCCATCCCTAGGTTTTGTCAGCAGAGGTGGTGTTGTCATATACTCTTTCAATTGTTGCAAGGCTTTCTCATGTTGTTCAGTCCACTCGAACTTCTTATTCTTTCTGAGGACATCATAGAAAAGTCGGCACCTATCTGACGACTTTGATATGAACCTGTTGAGTGCCGCAAATCTTCCGGTCAGTCTCTGGACGTCTTTGACTGACTTGGGAGATTCGATGTCTAATATGGCCCGGACCTGTTCGGGTCTTGCTTCAATTCCTCTTTCGCTGACAATGTACCCCAGGAATTCTCCCGATGAAACTCCGAATGTGCATTTAGCGGGATTAAGCTTCAAGTTAAACTCCTGCAACTTCTGGAACGGCCTCCGCAAGTGATCAATGTGGTCTGTTGCTCTTTTAGATTTAACCAGCATGTCGTCAATGTACACTTCCATGGTTTTACCGAGTTGGTCTTTGAAGATCATGGTGACCAGCCTTTGGAAAGTGGCACCTGCATTTTTCAAACCAAAAGGCATGACAATATAACAATACGTACCAGTCTCGGTGATGAATGCTGTCTTCTCTTGGTCATCCGGATGTAATTGAATTTGATGATAACCACTGAAGGCGTCCATGAATGTCAATATTTCGTGTCCTGCCGTGGCATCTGCGAGGACGTCAATGTGCGGCATCAGGAATGAGTCCTTTGGGCATGCCTTGTTCAAATCAGTGAAGTCGACGCATACTCTCCACTTAGGTTTCTTGCCCTTTTGGTGGCCCTTCTTCTTCTGCACTACAACAACATTAGCAAGCCAGTTAGGATATTTTACCTCGCGGATTTTACCAGTGCGTAGTAGTGTCTCTACTTCTTGATTGATGATGTCATTCCTTTCCCTTGCGAAACGTCGTCTTTTCTGTTTGACAGGTTTATGAGCAGGGTTCACATTCAGCCTATGAGTGATCACTTGCGGGTCGATCCCTGTCATGTCGTCATGGCCCCAGGCAAAGACATCTTTATGTTCTTTCAGAAAAGTGACAAGTTCTTCCTCCAGCTGAGTTGGCATGTTTCCCCCAATGCGGACGACTCTATCCGGATAGTATGGGTCAACGATGATGTCCTTAATGTTACCATCATCTTCACCGACCGGATTGAAGTCGCCCTTTAATTGCTACGCCGAAGTCGTTGTTGATGCTGTTGGCTTCATTGCGGTCTGGTAGCATGATTTAGCAGCGACCCTGTCACCTTGGATGGATTGCACTCCCCATGGCGTCGGAAATTTGACCACCTGATGGTATGTTGACGGGATTGCCCCCATTTGATGCAGCCAAGGCGTCCCCAGAATCATGTTGTAGGCGGGCAGATCTTGGACAACATCAAACTTTACCCGCAAGTTAAGACCATTTGCATGTACTTGTAAGGATACATTACCTATTGTCTTGCTTGGCTCGCCATTGAACCCGACAAGGGTGGAATCGGAGGTCGTCAGGTCTTCCTCTCTGTATCCCATCTGTTTTAGTGTCTTCAAAGTTGTGATGTTGGCAGTGCTGCCATTGTCAACCACGACTCGTCTCACCTCACAGTTCGCCACCCTAAACGCAATGACTAGGGTGTCATGATGAGCATCAACAGGATTGGCCAAGTCTGCCTCATCGAATGTGATTGGTGCGTTTTTCCAGGCTTCTTCTTTCCGGACAACTTGATACACCTGTGACGACTTGTCTCGGGAATATTCCCGAGCTTGTCTCTTTGCTGCAGAATAAGTTAGTCCACACAAATCAGAACCACCGTTAATGAAATTGATTACCTTTTGTGGCGCCGTAGGTGAAGGAGGTCGTTGGCAATCTGCGGACGACTTCTGATTCCTGTACAACATGGATTTCGTCTGTTCTGACATGATCTCAGTCAGGTACCCATTTCTCAAGAGGTAAGCAACCTCTTTTCGTAAAGCCACACAGTCCTCAATGTTGTGTCCAATGTCTTCGTGGAAGTCACACCTCTTGTTGGGATCTCGTCGCCCGCTGGACTTGTCTGATTTCCTAGGCCATCGGACCTTCTCTCCCAACTTGTCAAGAGCGTTGATCAATCCAGCAGTGTTGACGTTGAAGCAGTATGTTAGAATAGACGGCGGCAAACTAGGATCATCAAGCCAAGTGGTCACTGACGCTACAGGTCTATCTTCGTTCTTTGTGTATGGTTTGCCTGCCCTGTAGTCATGCTTCTTGGAAGTGCTGGCTTTCCGTTGTCCTCCCTCATATTCATTTGAACGAAGACGAGACTGTTCATCTTCCTCAAGTCGGATGAAGGCCAATGTCATGACCTGGACATCTTCGAATGTCTTGCATGGAAACTTGGTCAGTTCCCTGTACAAGTCTGAATCTTCGCGCAATCCTCTTCTGAATGCCTCTACAGCTGTTGGCGTGTCACACCTTGGAATTGACACTTTCTCTTTGTTGAACCAATGTAGGTAGTCACGTAAGGATTCGTTGCGCCTTTGTACTACACGATACAAGTCCCTGGTCTGCTTTTCCAACGTTCGACTACTTGCAAATTGCTGGGTGAACAAGTTTACTAGGTCCGCGAAGGAGTCGATGCCCCCGTTTGGCAAGTTGACGAACCATGTTAATGCTGGACCCGTTAATGTTGTCCCGAACGCCCTGCACATACAAGCTTCTCGTTGATCTGGTCTGACAGAGATTGCCAACATTCTCTGTTTGTATTGGGCGACGTGTTCTACCGGATCTGTGGTTCCGTCGAACAACTTCATAGATGGAGCAGTGAATTTCCTCGGGATCTCGACGTCCGCTATGTGTCGTCCGAAAGACGAGTCTGCGTAGCAAGTTCGCACTGCCATGTCAAGGGGACGAGGAACTCCTGGCATGCCGTTGAACTTCTCCCGCAGTTCCCTTAGCTCCTGCATGATGATGGCCCACGGTCCTGTCATGTCCGTTTGCATCTGTGGATCTACCATTCCGGAGTGTGTTGCTGTTTGAGGTATCCTCTGCTCGGCTGGTGACTGTATGGTAATGATTTCTTGATGCTGTCGTCTTGGATTGCCAAAGTCGACATCTCCGATCATGTTGTCACGCTCGGAAATGTGTCGTCCTTGATGTTCGGCAAACAAATTGCGAAACACGTTCCTCCTGGGGAGTGGGGGTGGTGCAGGACGAGATGATTGCCCCCTTGCACCTGTTGAACCGGCCAGTGTAGGGGGAATGAAAGGCTTCGTTGAAGTCGACACAGTGATAGGGATCGACATCTGCTGGTTGACGGTCTGCAACCCTGATGTCGTCGTTTTGGTTCGCAACGAATCCGGGAAGAAGCACGTGGGGATGCTTGCTTCTGGAGTTGTCACTGGGACAAGAGTTTCATAAGGGACGAATTGCGAGATCGCCGGGGAGCCTCCAGCATATGGATCAAAATCTGAAATTCCCAGGAAAGCCTCGGATGAGAACGTGATTGTTGAAGTTGAAACCGGTAGGGGGTCCATGTTCAACTTTGATGCAGCGGTCATGACTTCTTTCCCTTTCCGTGACTTAGATGCTATGGACGCCACCGACTGAACTTGAGATCTCAAAGCGTCATTTTTGCCTTGAAGAAGAGCTATACGTTGACGCATCTCCTCTCTCACGGCTTC